TTTAGGGCTTGGGGTTTAGAAGGGTTTAGGGGTTTTTGGTTTAGGGCTGAGAAGGTCCGGGAGCTGAGGCTGCCAGTCTCAAAGGCCACGGCTCAAAGAGTTTAGGTCGATGCAGATCTTCGGGTCGAGGGATTCAGATCGAAACTAAAAAAGGGTGTAGGCGGGCTAAGGGTAACGCAGCGTGGGGAGAGGTGTTGATTCCGACTAAGGCTATGGCGGGATTAGAGTTTCGTGACAAGCACTGCGTCTACCGTGCTGTTGCTGGTGTAAACAACCACGCTAGAAGTCAGAGTTTCGTGATGCATGTCAAAGGTATACAGAGTATCAGACAAGGCGGATGCTGCACAGCTTGGCACCTGCAAGCGGCTTTCACACGGCTGCACGGCTGCTTCTTGCGCGACGCCATGCTCTGCATTCGGAGGTTTCGGGGCTTCGTACACATTCAAGGAACTAGAATCCGATAGTCAAGCCAACTTGGTTAAGAAGACATCCAAGGAAATGTAGATACAAGTATCCGACACTCCTCAAACGTATGTGCAGATGACGCAGTGGCAAAACGAATGCTTCTCAACCCCAAAAACATCACCGAATGCAGGTCTCAACGTGCTGCGAGGGCGCGGGTCGACAACACAGGCATGCAGTACCGACATCCAGGAAGCTGGGATTCCCTAAACCTTAAGCCCTAAACTCTGAATCTTAAGCCCTAAACTCGAAAGCCCGAAAGGTTTCAGGTTCGGGGAGGCACCTCTGACAAAAACCTCAGCTTCCGGTTTAGGGGTTTCGGTTTAGGGTTTGGGCTTTAGGGGGTTTGGGGTCGTTTTCCGTTTTCAAGCCTCTAATAGGTTTGGGGTTTAGGGTCACCAAATTCTCCAATCATAGTAATCATGCAAGTTACAGTAGTAACACTAAGATTTCGAATAATAACCACGAGAATAACCATACTCACAATAATCACAAAAAGGAAACCCACACTAAATTTACATAGTGATAATGATAGTAATATCAGTAACAATAGTAATACTAATAATCATCGAAACACTAACAATGATAAGAAAGAGAAATGAGAAGAGTCATCATCATCATAATAGTAGTACTCGTAGAAATCATAATAGTAGTAGTACTGAGAGTAACAGCAAGAATAGTAATTCCTGCTGCTGGCGCTGTGTTGCCCTGCCTCCCCCCGTACTAGACCATGTAAAGTTTACGCAGACGGAGGGGGGTCTATTGCTGTGAATCAAAGACTTGGAACCTGGGAAGGGCAGTGCAAACAAGGCTTCTGATCTCAGCAACTCTGATTTTTTGCCTCAGTGCCATTCACTTCTTCACTCTGGTATCAACTTCCGAAGATCTACGTAGGAGGGATGCGTCCCCGAATGGCTTGCGCGGGGCCCGGCCGACATTGAAACTGCCGCATACTCCGCTATCCTCCCGCTTCCACCTTCGATCCGATTCTTCGCAACCAAGCTCAGACCGCAAAACCCTAGGCCCTAAATCCTAGGCCCTATAAACCCTAACACCCTGAAACCCCCTAATCCCTAAGCCCTAAACCCTGCATGGTCAGACATCACCCTGCGCGGACATGGCAAGAGCTGAAGAGGCAGAAAGCCACCGCTCCTGGCATGCAGGTATTCACGTGGCAAACAGGCAGGCTGAAAAAAGTTAGGGGGTTTAGGGGTTTAGGGGTTTAGGGGTTTAGGGGTTTAGGGGTTTAGGGGTTGGGGGTTTACATTCCTCCGCTGATACAAGGCCGATTCTCACAGAACCTTCTCATTGACGCTCTCTCTTCCTCTGCCTGTCTCCGCTCTAGGCCCTCCCGCTCACCCTGTGTCCCGCCCTTCATGTGTCCCTCTCTCTCTCTCTCTTGCATTGCTCCCGAGACTCCCTTTCTTGCCTCCAGAAGGAACAAAGCCTCAGCCCCTATAGAACCACAAAGTACGGCCCGTTCAAATGCCGACGCAGCAACCCCGTCTTGTGCAGGTTATTGCATCTAGCATGACATCAAACCTGTACAACTTGGAGGCCCGGGGGACTTAGTAAGTCGGTTATAAGTAGGTTTATACTTAGGGTAACTCCACCTAGGGTACTTATAACTCTACTTACAACCCACTTACTAAGTCCCCAGGGCCTCCAAGAAACCTTAAAAGCTATACTGCCCAGAGGGCAACCAAAAATTTGGAGCGCTGGTTGGCCCCATCTCATTTGCTCTGCATCAGGGCATTCTCCATCAGGGAAATGCCGCCAGCGACTTGCTGCCCGAGCTGTTTGAAGGTGTTTGTGACCTCGAGCTTCGGCGCCAAGGACAAGAGGAGGCTGATCCACACGGCTCCACTGAAGTAGGCTGTCTGCCAAACCGTTGCGTATTCCCAAACCTCCTCCTTGTGAGTGCGATGGCGAGTAAGAGCTGCATCCTTCACACCCACCCAGAAGCCCAGAAACTCAAAGCCTTCTGCCAGCTGGTCTTGGTAGCGTTGCCAGTACTCTGGTGCATCGGTGATGAACATGTACGGCACATAGGCAATGCAGAATGCACTCATCCCCACCGCATACACAATCGCATTGCAGGAGCAGCTCCATCGCGTCCCGGCCTCTCTCCGGAGCTGAAACACCTGGTAGGAGAGCACGAAGAAGAAGGGCATGCCAACTGCGAAGGCCAAGCCCCAATTGAACTCCTCAAGTGCATACCATTTGTTGCTCTTCGTGATGGTTCCTGCAAAGGAGAAACATTGGGCCACAAAGATGATGACCACCATCGCAACTGCGGCAGACTGGCAAAGGAAATGCCAGCAGCTCCCCCAGCTTTGATTGGTTTCGTTCACCTGATTTTCGATGAAGGAAAGTGCCTTTGCGATTTGTGCGACGAAGCACATCTCGGCTATTGCTGCCAAACTCCGAACCAGCAAAATGCTAGAGAGTGGCGTATCGAACCAAACATAACGTAAAGGGTATTGTGCTGGCATGTAGGAGCGGTATGCACAGACGAAGACATAGGGGCCACACACCGCCAGCATAAACTGCTGATAAGCTTTGACCGCTGCATCTGTCGAGAAGGACGAATAGTAGCACTTTGTAATGGCTGTGTACACCGCGATGTTGAATGTGGCAATGCTGAACAAGGTCACCCACCACTGAACGGCCCAAGGTGTCCAAAGGGGCCCTTCATGCCCCACAATCGACTCCTCTGGTACATCAAGGTTGAAGAAGTGGAAGTCTGTGCCCGACATGTCAGATGCACGGAAAATATGGTTCGGAGCAAAACCTTCCTTTTCAGCTTGAACCTTGAGCCACCCTCTAGCCACGGCATTCATCTTCCAATCACTGATACAAAGAGGTATCGGCCAACAGCGGGTGCCTCAAACTCACTCCCGCCTGCAGATGCATCGTTGGCAGCAGCTGCCGGATGACCTTAGCAGAGAACTTGACTCCAGATTGAGACAGGCATTGAGGCGTAGACATCATGTAAAAGCTAACCGAATCTGTTGATGATACATTATGTTATAATAGTGGGTGGCAGTTTCCCAGTAGGTCTTCTACCCGTTGAAACGTACAGCTACAATCAATATGATGACTGCTGTTTTCCTGCTACGACACAGCGCTGCGCTTCATAGCGCTGGCAATCTAAATTCTTTTCTTGCTGGGCACTTACCCTGGAGCTCCAAATTGCGCGCTTCTGCTGGCCATGCTAAGAGGTCCTTATGGCCTGCATACAAATGCACGAAGACGAAGCACAGGTCTTCTTGGGTGAATGGCGACACTTCGTGGATGCCCACAAGGCAAAGCACCTTTGCACTGCTTGAAAATCGAACCACAACACAGGTTCTGAGTTCCCCAACAAAGCCGGTCGACTTCCCCATTGGCCTCACCACCACGCATGAGGAAAGACTGCTTACGGTTTGTGTGCAAGATCCCAACCTGACGGCCAGGCTGATGCCATTTCAGCTGCTGACATGGCTTGTAGTTTCCCGCGGCGAACCAGAGAAGCAACTTATCTCCCTTAATGTGTTTGTGTCTGTGTGTATGTGTTGCTCTGCTCCCGTGCTGTGAGCCTGACAGTCAAATGTTAATGTTTGTACAAGACTTGCGGCTGCGGATTCCACAAAAGCCGATACGAAACTGGTGCATCCAACTCGCGATGGCGGAACGCCTGCAACACATGACAAGCTTCCTATCACCTGCACCATTCCAAAGCACTAAAGCCGAGTAAACGACAGATCAAAGGGTTGAAAAGGGTAAGGTTTATACATTTTGCTGTTCCACAGTCATTGTGCCAAACTTGAAGATGTCCGGAAGCGCAAGCTCCCGCATGAAATTAGTGGTTTATTGGGCTCTTAAAAGTCTTTCTGGATAAAGTACCGATAAGGGGGAATTAAAGAAATTCAGGGAGTATTCCGAAAGACTAAGGCCTGAAGGTCGTAGGGGTGTCCATCCAGAACATGCCAGGATATCCGAACCATGCCAGCCGTGGGCAACTTCAAAGGGGGGCGGGTGTGGATCGAAGCGACAAAAGGCGACATCTCCGTATAAATTTTCTTACACTCTGAAAGAACGCCTACGCCTGCGGTAATTCACATGTTCACATGAAAATGAGTGCACCGTAAAATAAAGCAACAAGTGAAACACGACATGTCGAACAAGAGAAATCATAAACACCCCGCCTACAGACACTCATGGCCTGGGCATGGGTTTCTGTACCATGATTCTCCGTTGGTCAAACAAAGAACACTTAGTTCAGGATAAGCACTTATGAAGAGAACGGCGTTCTTGAGCACTGCCATCAAGGTTTTTGGCTCACTAAGTTCACTAGTTACACGCAGTTCTATGCACTACGCGCATTCCGTCGAAAGGCGTGGGCTGCCGATGACGAAAAGCACACACGCCAAGAATCAAGCTGGCACGCAACTTTGCAGTGTTCCCAAGTTCAAGGAATCAGCACATTGAAGATTGAGATGCCTACTCCTTCAGACTTGTAGCCGCTCCACGGCTACATCTGGCGGTTGGTAAATGATTACACGGATTGACAGCGAAATGCTGTTTGATCGAGGCATTGACAACTGTTCAAGCAAGCCATGTACAGTTTCCCACAGCTGCCTATGTACAATGCCAAGTAGTTAATCCGATGCGCAGGCATGGGACTCCGCTTAGCGCACATAAGCATTGTTCAGTCAGGATTTGAGGGTACTTCGGTTGTCGTTGGTGCATTTAAGGACAGCCCAGACACGGTTGTAGACTGTAGACCCCAATACCTTTTGGGGAGGCACTTGCAGGGCTACCGATTTCGCATTGGTTTTACGACTCGCAAAGTAGGACCGCGGAACCACGTGTTTTGTCAGCGCATGCTGCCGTTCTATTAGATTCATTAACTAAGAGTTATTGTTACACCGGAAAAGGTACAACACGCTACACGCTCTGGTGGTTTTCATGTAATTTGCACAGGTTTTTCGATCTTTTCACAAAGAATTAGCGAGATTAGGTACAGTTGAGGGAATTGCTGACACAAGTACAAAAGCACTGAGACGAAAGCGCGCTTTGCTTCCTGGACCACACGGGCCGGCATGACGACTCAAGGATAAACTATAGCAAAACAACAGGACAAGTCCAAGCCAAAATGCTGCCGTTCCAGCAAGAAGGCTTTCAGAATGACGACACCTCGAAAACAGGTGCTCTTATATTTTTGGCGGAGTCCGGCACGTCCCGTTTCAGCCATATAATACTAATGGCGAGTAGACACCTGCATATACGTCAAGAACTCTACATAATACTAATTTGAAACGGGACGCCTTGGACTCCACGGCTTGCACCATGAGTTTATGACGTTTTCCTAAGGTGGTGCTCATCAT